CCACGAGAGCCCATCAGAGCCCACGAGAGCCCATCAGAGCCCACCAGAGCCCACGAGAGTCCATTAGAGTCCATCAGAGCCCACGAGAGTCCATTAGAGCCGATGGAAAGCAGCAAAGACACAGGCCACAGAAGCCCACATTAATTTAACTCGCTGGGCTTTACATGGAACCTGAGCACATCTGCTGGGGACCCCAGGGCCCTGCCAGCCTGAGTCCAGGCTTCCTGGGACGGGCAGCTTCTAGCGGCCCCGGGGCAGCGGGGCGTGTGGCACTGCCCATAAATACCTATACATAAACCGGCCAGACCACATCTGCAAGTAAAGAGTCAGTCGGCCAGGCTGCAGCAGTCCAGGGCCTAGCACCAGGAGGGCCTGCTCGGAGGGCAGAGGCCCACACCCACAGCTGCCCTGGTCCCAACCCAGGCTGCGGGGAGGGTCAGGGCGTCCTCAGCCCAGCTAGCCAGGTGCCTGATGTGGACGATGCAGCCTGAGGTCCGGTCCACTCCCCTGGGCTACTTGTGGCCACATGAGGCCTCCCTCCTCGCAGCCACAGGGCCCTGGCTGATGGAGAGGCTGGGCAGCTGTCTACAGCCCTCCCCTGAGACCCACAGCTGTCCACAGCCCTCTGGAGAGAGGCAGGAGTCCTAGTCCACGTGTGTTCTCTTGCATCACCAAGGCCTGGGTCCCTCAGCTGGAGCTTTGTGGCAGAGCCTCCATGGCAGGGGCTGCCTCAGCTAGTGCCTGCGGAGCTGGGTACCTGTCTGCTGGAGACTGGCCGTGTGGCCGCTGGGGCATGAGAAGAAAGGAGGGTCAGTCCCGGGGGTGGCAGCTCTTGAAACAGCCAGGTCCTGGCTGGCACATCGCAGCCCACCCTCCTCCCCAGCTCCACGTCAGGTCTAGATTCTGAGGTCCGGGCAGCAGAGATGTCTACTGCCAAGCCTGGACCTTTGGACTTAGCCACAGCACACCCTCCTGGAAAGCCCGTGGGGCATTCCCCACCCCTTACCTGCGCCCTGTGCTGGGGACAGGCTCTCGAGGAACTGGGAGGGCCCACCTGTGAGGGGACACACAGCAGTTCACATGGTGCCCTCATTCTTGGATGTCACTGTACTGGGGCTGTGAGGCCTCACCCACCCCTGCCTGCAGGGACCCCCTCCCCAGGCACGGCCTCCTGCTCCATCTCACTCCGGCCCAAGCCCGACTCCTCCCAACGCACGCTCCCAGCCTTTCCTTTCCAGAAGGCATGAGAGGCAGGGCTGGATGGGGAGGGACTTCCCCCAGAGCTAAGCCAAGCCCACTCCAGGACAGTGAACAGGGCCCAGACTCCATAGGCCAAAGAGGCCCTGCCCAGAGGGGCCCGGCTTCAGAGACCTCAGGCTCAGTGTCTGGGCTAGGGTGCCCCAGGGTGCACCGCCACACCTGGCCACTGGGTGCCGCTGTGGACAGCGTTGTGTGCAAGCACCAGCAGGCAAGTGGCTGCCTGGTCCCCAGGAGCCACCCCACTGTGGAGCCGGGCTCCCTCCTCCATGCCTCCCTCCCTTCACAGCTCTTAGGATCCGAGGCCAGGATCATCTTGGAGAGGTTCAAGAAGCACTCATGTCAGGGGTCTCCAGCTGGGATCCCTGCTCCACCATACCAGAGCCCTGGGGTGGGCGCCTCACCTCTGTCCTCCTGCCCTCTGCAGAGACCCTGCCCAACACCTGCAGCATCCCAGGCCCGGGGAGCCAACCTGGGCCAGCCAGGGGGTGTGGGCACCCCAAGCTCTGCCCGCCTGCACTGCCTCGCCCAGCCCGGCCTGTAGGGTGGGCTGTCTGGGCTCCCACTGCGTTTGGGCTGGCCCTCGAAGCTGCTGGGCTCGGGAAGGTGGGGCAGCTGGCTGGCAGTGCCCACCCTGCCCCATGGTTAAGTGGCTATGAGGCTCACACCTGGCCTGTCAGGAGCCGCGTGGACACTCTGGGTACTGGGCAGGGATGGCTGTGGTCTCTCTGGCTGGCTGCACCCACTCAGTGATATCAAGGCAAGGGACAGGTCCTCAGCCAGGGTGGGGGCCCAGTGTCTTCCCCTCCCTCCCCAAGAGCACAACTCACCTTCCCGGCACGTGGGCCCCATGTAGCCATCCACGCAGTGGCACTGCCCACTGACCGGGTCACAGTCAGCCCCCGCTGAACACTCACAGTGCAGGACACAGCCGGGTCCAAAGCGGCCCTGTTTGCAATCTAAATGCAAGGGGGGAGGGGAGAGGCCTGAGCAGGTCCCTGTCTGCCGGGCCGTGGGCAGAGAGCTGGGCGAGTGAGGGCCTCAGCGTCCCCTGCGAGCAGGGCAGTGTGCTGCATCGGAGGGCTCCTGCATGGGATGGGTGCCTTCCCAGAACCACTACCCATGTTCCCGCCCAGGGTCCAGGTGGGCAGAGGGGGACATGTGGCCGAGGCGGCTCCCCCAAGGCTCATCAGGCCCGGGAACCCTCCAGTCAGTCCACTGTGCGGCCCCAGTAGGGCAGCCCCCACCCTTGGGTGGCCCTCCCACCCTCTCAATGCCCCCACCCCCAGCCAGCAGATAGGGACCACCTTCCACCTATCAGGGGCTTCCTCCCATGATCAAATGTCCCGGCCCCAGGAGAGGGGCCTGGGACTCTGGCAGCCGCGGGGCAGGGCAGGACCTCTACAGCTCCAGCTCTGGTGAGCACACCCTGGTGCCTGCCCCCACGAGGGCACAGGCTGGGGCCCAGAGGTCGCAGGAGGGCACGTCAGTCAGGTGGCACAGGTGGCGCTCAATCCACAGTCAATATGGAGACCCACTCCACAACCCTCCGGCAAGACCCCCACTCACCCAGGTCACACGTGGCTCCTGAGCGCCCTGGTGGGCACAGGCAGAGGCCGCTGACGGGGTCACAGGGCGCCCCCCCACTGCAGCCACACCGTTGGTGGCAGCCTTCTCCAAAGGAGCCTGGCTCACACCCTGGAGGGGACAGCGGGCTCAGCATCCCCTCTTGTCCTGCACCCAGACTGGACAGGGACAGGGTTGAGGGGCTGCATGGGGAGCCTGTGGGGCACATGGCACTCACCCCTCTCACAGGACTGGCCCTGGAAGCCGGCTGGGCAGAAGCACTGGCCGCTGACGGGGTCACAGGAGGCTCCCTGTTGACACTCACAGGCCTCCTGGCACCCAGCTCCATGGAATCCGGGGGGACAGGCTGAGGGGGGACCCCAGTTACAGGGAGCCAGAGGCAGGGGCAGCAGAAAGCTCCCAGTGGCACAGAGAGAGCAGGGACCGAGGACTTGGGCCAGAGAGAAGTCCCTCCCCTGCGTCCTCACGCCCCACGCCCTAGGTCCCCACCTCAGTCTGACAGCCTGGCAGGGCTCACACCGGACAGCTGGGGTGTCCAACTGGGTGGCAGCCCAGACCCTGCTCCCTGAGTGACCCCAAGGAGCCACCTCTGACATGAGAGCCTGAGTCACGAGTCAGGTCAGGCTTGACTCCGGGACCCCACGAGCAATGATATCTCGCTGTCGTAAAGCAAAGGCCAGCCTGATGGCCCACTCAGGGCCGAGGACAGCCACTGGCCACAGCCCAGCCGGCAGAGGCCCCAGCCCATGACTCACGGTGCTCGCAGGCCTGACCGTAGAAGCCAGGGCCACAGCGGCAGGCGCCCGAGGCGGGCTCACAGGTGCCGTTGTTCTGACAGGCGCACTCCAAGAGGCAGGCGGCACCATAGCGCCCAGGGGGACAGGCTGCGAGAGGGCAGGAGGACAGCCTCTCAGGCACAGACTCGGGACCAGCACCTCAGCCAGCCCTACGTCAGCCCTGGCCCCCCAACCAGGGCCCTCAAGCCCTGTTCCCTCAGGGGCACACAGGGCCACTCCCCTGCCCTTAGCTGATCCTTCCTCCTGCCCACTGCTCTTGGGGACACCTCTGGCCCCCTCACTCACCCTGCTCGCAGTGTGGCCCCATCCAGCCCGGGCGGCAGGAGCAGCTGCCATGGGTGCTGTGGCACAGGGCTCCGTGTCTGCACTCACACTGGAGCTCACAGCCCGCGCCAAACCGGTTCTGGGGGCAGCCTGCGGGCAGAAGACAGGTGCTGCCCAGAGCGCTGGCCAGGCTGGACTGCTCAGGCCACGCCCTGCACAGGCTCCCATTCCTTCAGTGGAGGCTTCCTGGGATGTCCTGTGCCAGCCTCACTCGCCAGGCACGTGGTGCCAGAGGGTCAGCAGACACCAGGCCTGGCTGAGGGCTGAAGGGACGGTAAGCAAGGGGCCACGCCCTCCAGAGGCTGCGAGCACCTCCCAGGCAGTGGGCGGGTCAGGAAGACGTCCTGGAGGTGGTGGCCTCTCCACACAGCCGCGGCCAGCCTGGGAGCCAGGGCACACCCTCCAGGCCTGGGAAGGGACGCTCCCTGTGGCCCTCCTGTTCAGAGCAGAATGCAGCGGAGGGGGGCTGGTGCCCGGCCTGGAGGAGAAGCAGGGCCAGGCCACCTCCTGGCGGAAGCTGGTCCCTGGGTTCTGACCTCTGGCGGCACAGGATCCCAGGGAGCCCTGAGGCTGAGGAGTTGGGGTGGGGAGGCCCCCTCAATGAGGACTAAGGGGAGCCAGGCCTGGGGACTGGGCACATAGCAGAGAACACAAGCCACCGCACTGTCCCCCTTTTCCCTGTCTCACTGGCCTGTGCTCAGCTGCCTCCCCCTGGGAGCCCTGCGCCTGGGCCTAGAGACATGGCTGGGGCCGGCTCCCCCTCAGACAGAAAGCAGCCAGCACTCTGCTTCCAGGAGGGGCTCTGGCCAGACCTGAAGCCCCCACTGGCCACAGGGACACTGCCAAATCACTAGGTGGCCTGAGCCTCTAGCCAGTAGGGGGAGGTAGGGGCTGGGGTGGGATGGGGCCCTGTCCACCCAGCAGGGCAGTACTGGCCATACAGTAAGGGTGCTGTCCTCTGCCCACAGGGTCCTTTTGGGAGCCCATGGTGGCTTTGGGGACAGGCTGGGAGAGGGCAGGAGGACAGTCCCTCAGGCACAGTAGTCTGAGTTCACCTCACTGACCTCCCATGGCTAATGGAGGGACGTTGGTGTAGTGCCCCTGTGCCACCCCCATGGACACTCACCATGCTCACAGTGGGTGCCAGTCCTCCCCGGTGGGCAGATGCAAGTGCCGGTCACAGGGTCACAGGTGGCCCCCTGCCCGCATGCACACACATGGGCACAGCTGAGGCCAAAGTGACCTGGTGGACAGGCTGCCAGGGAGGGGGCAGGTGAGTTGGCAGAGCCCAGCCGGGCCCTGCCCGGGGACTGCCCTTCTCTCCCTGTCACCGGCAGGCTCTGCTGGGGGCTGGGCTCTGCGGTGACTCACGCCAACCCTCCCACCTCAGCTCCCCCGGCCCCAGACAGGGAGAGTCTCCACGACTCAGGAGAAAGGCCCCTCCTTGGCAGCACCAGTGACCACAGCTGCAGCTGGGGACAGTAGGATCCCACTGATGTCCTACAGACAGGGTTGCTGGCCTCTCTGCCACACAGGTTAGCTCAGCTGGACCAGCAAGAGCGGGTCAGAGAGGTGGTCAGGGTGGTGCCTGGGAGGCGGTCCTCGTGCGGGCTGGCTGGCAGGGCCTTGCTCCCCAGAGATGCAGGGAGAGCCCCAGGCCTGCAGCTAGCCACTCACTCAGACTGCAGTCAGCTCCGAGGAACCCGGCAGGACAGTGGCAGGCCCCTGTGGCTGCGTCACAGGAGCCCCCGTTCCGACACCCACACACCTGTCCACAGCCTGGACCATAGCGCTCAGGCGGGCATCCTGTAGGGACAGGAGCCACTGCCAGGGGCTGGGAGCTGGAGGCTGACCCCCAGCAGCCCTGAGCTGAGCATGGCAGCCCCACATGCCCCCTCCAACCCCCTCAGGCAGAGGCCGTCCAGGGCGGGCAGCCACCAGGCATCAGGGGACATGAGCAGGACTCACGTTTCTGGCAGCCAGTGCCGTGGTAGCCGGCCATGCACACGCAGGCCCCTGTGGCAGGGTGGCAGGCCTGGGTCTTGCCAGGACACTGGCACAGGTGCCTACAGTCCTCTCCAAAAGTGCCGGGCCAGCAGGCTGGGTGAGTGGGAGGGGGTGGGGTCAGTCCTGGCCAGCCTCAGGAATGGGCAGCCTGTCCAGGGGTGCCCCAAGCCGGGCAGCACCTACCCTGCTCACAGCCAGGCCCGGTGAAGCCAGGAGGACAGTGACACTCCCCAGTGACGTGGTGGCAGGAGGCCCCAGGTGGGCAGCGGCAGCTCTGGACACAGGCCTCTCCGAACCAGCCGTGTGGGCAGGCTGCGGGAAGGGCGTGGGCTGGGAAGGCTCCCGTCAAGGGCACGGCGGGGAGCCCTGGGGCCAGACTGGGCTGCAGGCAGCCACCCTGGGCAGGACCGTCCCTCCTTAGCCAGGGGCCCCTTGAGCCGGCCACACCGGGGGCTGCACCTACCATCCTCACACCGTGAGCCCCTCCATCCTGGGGGGCAGCGGCAGGCCCCCGTGACATGGTGGCAGGCTCCCCGACGACAGATGCAGCGCTCCTCACAGTGAGCCCCGAAGGTGCCCTCAGCACAAGCTGTGGGCAAGGAGACAGATGGGAGGCGGAGCCCTGTGTGCCCTCTGCCCATGAGAGAAGGGTGGACAGGGATTCAGGAGCCCAGGCTCGGCCACAGGGCCCAAGGCAGGGGGGAGAAGCTACTGGACCCGCTGAGAGCACAGGCCAAGCAGGCCCACCCCAGCCCAGGGCAAAGTGAGGCTCCCCAGCCTGGTCAGCCTGGGCCCCCAGGTCCAGACCCCCCCCGGGGCCTTGTAGCTCAGACAGCAGCCCCCCAACCTCCATGGTGAGGACCACTCTGTGTCCTCGTCTGGGTGAGGCCGACAGGACCCTTGGCACTCCAGCAGGGCTCCCGGCTTCCTGCCCCACTCACATCTCTGGCACTTGTCCCCAGTCCAGCCAGCAGGGCAGAGGCAGCGGCCCGTGTGCCTGTCACAGAGGCCTCCATTGAGGCAGCCGCAGCTGAGCTGACAGCCAGCTCCGTAGTGTCCGGGGAGGCATTCTGCAGCAGTGGGGCGAGGATGAGGGTCGCGGCCCCCTGGGGCAGGGGCATGTCCAAGACCAGGCTCCTACCTCCTTGGGGACCAACCTCAGGAGAGGCACCCAAGACCACCCCCAGGATGCTACCCTCTGGCCTGGGAGTCCTCCTGGCCACCCGAGCTTACCATTCTCACAGGCCAGGCCGGACCAGCCCTCTGCGCACGTGCAGCGGCCTGACACAGGGTCACAGCTCCCCCCGTTCTGGCAAAGGCAGGCTTCTCGGCAGCCCTGGCCGTACTGGCCAGCGGGACAGGCTGGTGTTGGGGAGAGGGAGCAGTCTACAGTCCAGCTAGCAGCACCCCGGCTCTGCAGGCTCCTGGCACCCTCACAAGCCCCAAACAGACCGGGGGTGGGGACCTCGACTGATCCCAGGCCCAGTCAGGACCCCCCCAGTCTTGGGGGCACAGCACTGAAGCAACCCCCTTATTCTCTCCCACAGGGGCCAGGGGCTTCTGGGAGTGAACAGGCCCACCCCTCCCTGGATGCCAGCACCCCACACCAAGAGCCCTTAGGGCTTGACCAGAGACTGGACTCCTGGGCAGGGCTTACCCTGCAGGCAGGTGGGCCCCATCCAGCCGGGGGCACAGTGGCACTGCCCGTGGACGGGGTCACAGGAGGCCCCATTAAAGCAGGTGCAGGCCTGGCTGCAGTTAAGGCCGTAGGTGAGGGCTGGGCAAGCTGCCAGGGAGAGGGGCGGTCAGGGCTGAGGAGGGCCACCAGAGGGCGTCAGCAGGAGGCTCAGGCACTGGGCAGGTCTGGTAACCCCCCCTCCCTCTGGCCTGGGACTCCCTCTCAGACTGGGTCCTCATGAGCGAGTGACTGCCTGCCTGCAGGGAACACCCACGGTGGGAACCCGGTGAGCCTTCTGTGGAGGTCCCGGGCCCTCCTGCAGGCTGCGCGGGGCCTCACGCACTCTGGGTGCAGCGGGGTCCCTGGCGGCCTGGCGGGCAGAGACAGGAGCCGTTCACGTTGTCGCAGGCGGCCCCCGCGGAGCAGTTGCAGGCGCCACGGCAGTCCAACCCAAAGAAGCCAGCTGGGCAGGCTGCAGACAGAGGCAGGGTGGTGCGGGCCCAGAGGTCAGGGGACACGCCCTGCCCTGCCCTGGAGACTCCTTGGGCCAGCAGCCAGAGCCCAGCTCACCTCGCTCACAGAAGCTTCCCCTCCAGCCTGCTGGGCAGGTGCAGGCCCCGCTGACGTGGTCACAGGCTGCCCCATGCTCACACTGGCACTGGTGCCCACAGCCTGGTCCAAAGTATCCTTGGGGACACCCTGAGACACCCAGCCCCAGCCCACTGTCAGCCAAGGGGCCAAGGGCCTGACCAGGCCCCCAGAACTGACAGCAGGGCCAGTTCCCCAAGGAAGCCCTCCCGACAGTCACCCCAGGGGTGGTGAGATACCCAGACGTCACCTCAGACCTGGGCCGCCCCTAGGACAACCCACCCAGCTCCCTGGGCCTTCCCACCTGGGAAACACACACATAGCACCAAGCGCCACCGCCCAGGTGCCAGGTGTCCTGTGCAGGTGGGATAGGCCCTGCTTGGGTCTTCTGCCTGACCTGGGCCGGTGGGGCTGGGCATGCTCGGTGGGGGCAGGCAGGCAGGCACTGTGTGCACATGCAAATGTGTGCCCCTCCACAGCGTGCCCGTGCATCGCACACCCGTGCACACCCCGGGGCAGGGCCAGGACCCCCAGGACTCACGCTGCTCGCACTGTGGGCCCACGTAGCCAGCCTCACACAGGCACAGGCCACTGATGGCATCACAGCTCCCGTGGCCTGCGGTGCAGTTGCAGGGGTAGCCGCAGTCGGGCCCCCAGTGTCCACTGTCACAGGCTGCAACAGAGCCCAAGATTGCCCTGCGCAGGCCCGGTGGAGTCCACAGGCTCTGCAGCCAGGTGGGGACCCAGGAGCAGGAAGCGGAGGGACAACTGGGAGCACAGGCATGGTCTCCGTACCTCTCTGACAATTCAGGCCAGTCCAGCCAGGGGCACAGCTGCAGTGCCCAGTGGCCGGGTGGCAGTGCCCATCGTTGCCACAAGAGCACCTCGTCTGACAGCCGGGTCCAAACCAGCCTGCTGGGCAAGCTGTAGGCAGTGAAGGAGGGTCAGGGCGGTGGCCAGCACACCCACCAGGCCACCGCCCGAGGCTGAGGTCAGGTGTGAGCCACTCACCGTCCTGACAGCGGCTGCCCACGAAGCCGGGGAGGCACAGGCAGGCTCCCGTCACGGGGTCACAGCGGGCACCGTGCTCACACACAGGGCAGATCTCCTGGCAGCCGAGCCCCCAGTGGCCCTCAGGACAATCTAGTGCCCCCAGCACCAGTCAGTCTCCCTCCCCTGCCCTCGCCGGCAGGTCAGCGTGTGCCTGGCACAACACTGACCCCCTGGAGCAGGCCAGGAGGGGAAGCAGGCTTCCCATCTGAGGCTGCCAGGAGAGGAGGGGCTGCGTCCTCAGGGCCCTGGGCACCTCCTGGGGCTGCAGGGCACCACCCACAGCAGTGAAGCCCCAGTTCCAGGGACGGCTCAACAGACAAAGAGGGCAGCCAGAGGGAGAGGCCAGATCTCCAGGCAGTGCGCTGCCTGTTAGGGGGACACTGCAGGCCCCAGGCTCCCTGCCCACACCAGGCTCAGTCCAGCACAGTTCCTGAAGCTTCTGTAGAGGGCCTGGGATCTGCACGGCCTGTGCCAGGGTCCCCAAAGATGGCCCAGGGGTCTTCAAGTATGGTCCAGCAGGGATCTTTGAACACAGCCCGAGCTGACCCCACCTGAACTCCTGCAGCCCAGGAAAGAGTGGGCTGAGGATGCTGCCGCCACTCACCTGCCCCACAGTCCTCTCCGGTCCTGCCTGGTGGGCACAGGCACTGCCCTGTGACCCGGTGGCAAGAGGCACCCCCACAGGAGCAGGAGCCTGAGCAGTTCACACCAAATGTCCCCTCTGGGCACTCTGCAGGAGGGACGGTAGGGGCCTCAGCCACCCCATGAGAGGCGGCCCAGCCAGGCAGCCTTCCCTGCCCTCTGAGGCTCCTGGCAACAATACCCCCCGCCCGGGGCCCAGACACCTGCTTCAGCTCCAGCAGAGGCTGCTGGACACTGGGAGCCGGGCCCAGGAGCAGTCCTTACCTTGGGGGTAAAGGACTGGGGCAGGTCAGGTGGAGGGCAGCAGGAGGGCAAGGCGCCTGTCAGGTGGAAGCCACAGCCGCCAGACCCAGACAGTGCCCCAGACAGCGCCCCGGGAAGGGTGGCAACCTTGCGTTCCTTCTCCCCCAAGGAGACCTGCCCAGGGTGTGCCAGTCCCGTCTCCCCACCCCCCAGCCAGCTGGGGACACCCCCACGGCCTCAGCCCCAGGGGCTGGGGGAGGATTTGCATCCACCTGGTGACCCGGGGTGGGAAAGAATAGTGGGCCAGAATGCTCTGCACACTGAGAGTGGGCCCGAAGGCCTCGGGTCCCCCACCCCACCACTCAGTAGGCGCAGAGAGCAGCAATGCAGAGCCCCTATACCCTGGACAGGACCCTGCAAGGCCCCCAGCAGGGTCTCAGGAGATGCGTGGTACCCTGGAGCCCAACTCTGCCCTGGGAGGCCTGCAGTGGCCGCTCCCCACACCTGCCCTGCCCTCAGGGCCCAAGTCCAGCCTCCTGGCCCAGGAGGACAGTGACTGAGTCTGGGGTGGGAAGTCTGGGCAGGGGAGGCATCCCACTGCCCTGGAGAGCCAGCGGCCCTAATGAGGTGGACTGCAGGCCAAGGCACAGGTGTGCACCCAGCATTTGGGCACCCTCTAGAGGACCGGGTGCACGAGGCAAGCACCAGGGTAGCACACACCTGGACCAGAGGAGAGGGCCCAGCGCTACGGGGAAGCAGCCTCCCCAGCTCCTACGGGCGGCCGTGGTGGACGGCAAGTTTCCAGGCCCACAGAGGGAACACCAACTCTACAAAAGTGTGTGTCCATTCCCGCGGCCATCCTGAGGCCACTGTAGGCTTTTAAATTTAAAAAGTTAAAAAAGAAAGCGGTGGGAGATAGGGAGGGGCCAGAAGGGCCTCTTAGCAGATGGGCCAGCAGTGTGGGTGGACAGGCCTCCTCACTGGGCCCTGGCAGGCAGTGAGTCTAGACGGGGTGGGTACAAGGGATGGCAGGCCGCAAGGGAGTGTGCCCATGTGCCTGTGTGCCCATGCACATGCCTGCCCGTCCGGCGTGTGTGTGTGTGTGTGTGTGTGTGTGTGTGTGTGTATGTGTGTGTGGGTGGGTGTGCAGGCATGTCAGGTTGTCCGGAGGACCTCAGTCCTTCATCATGACCGAGCTCCCGTGGCAATTGCACAGGTGGGGAAATGGACACTCAGCTGCTGACTGTGGCCTGAGACCACAGAGTTCCTGTGAGTCCACTCAGGTCTGGGGACTCCAGGCTGGGCTCTGAGCCCTGTGCTGTCCCTCGTGTACCAACAGGACCAAAGAGCCTTTGACAGCGTCTTTGCCTCAGAGGAACTGGCCTGGGTCAGATGGAGACATTGAGCCTCAGGTCACCTGGCCCAGGTGGCTGAGGGTCCTTAAGCCAACATGGTGCCCTCTCAAGGCATGCTGTCCAGGCCAGGCTGCCAACAGGTCAGGGTGCTGGATAGCCAGACCCCCAGGGACACCTGAGAATCAGCATCACGATCCATATCCCAGGTGGCCATTGTGACCTCCTCTTCTAGCTGCCACATAACGTGGGGTCCCCAGGCTCTGTGTTCCTCACGTGCCTGGGCCACAAGATCCACAGGGAGGGGCCTCCATCACTGCCTCCGTGGCCCCTCTGGGAGAAGGCCCTTGGAGACCCCCAAGGGCAGCTGCCACCTCTGCTCCCGGTGGCTGCTTACACTCGAGCCTGCTGCCCCGGGCTCCCGTGCCCGGTGCTCCCTGTCCCGGTGGAAGGGAGGAGTGCCCGGGTGCTTCCTCAGAGCACTGACCCTTTCCCTGAGCCAGACCTGGGCAGACAGGCAGCTGCTGCCCCGAGCAGCTCCTCAGACACAGACCAGTGGCCTGCCACTGCCTGATGATGGAGGTGACACCGAGGGTAAAGGTGCCGCAGCCTGCCATCCTCCAGCTGAGCAGCACTTCTGGGAGTCAGCCTCTGCAAGGGGCCAGGTGGCCTCCAGCACTGGCTCACTCTGGGGCCCAGCCTCACCTTGACCACAGTCCTGCCCCCGGTAGCCAGCAGGACACTGCTCCCGACACTCGCCGCTCACAGGATCACAGGCCACGCCTGGGGGACAGGTGCACGTATGCTGGCATCCTGGCCCGAAGAAGCCTGGCTCGCACTCTGCGGGGTGAGGGGCACCAGAGGGGTGGATGGGTTCGGCCGCCCTCTCAGTGGGCCCCCCACACAGCATGCTCACCTGCCTGACACCGCCTGCCCCAGGAGCCCCCCCCCCCCGCCCAGCCCCCCCGCCCTGACACCCCCTGCCCCAGGAGCCCCCCCACCCTGCCATGCTCACCTGCCTGACAC